GTCTCCCTGTAGTCCCAGTTAATTGAACTTGCTATGAAGACCAGGCTGGCCTTGATCTCACGCAGATCCACCTTGCGTCCCGAGTGCTGGGATTAAAGGTATGCGCCACCACACCTAGCTCCTCCCCCCATTTTTGAGACAGGGTCTCATGTATCCCAGGCTGGTCTTGAACTCCTTATGCCGTCAAGGATGATCTTGAGCTCACCTCTGGAGTGCTCAGATTTCAGGTGTGTACCAGTTGCCGTAGCAGTTTCCAAGCTCAACCCCAGCTTAGTGGTCTGTGTCATCAGCCACTTAGGTACTTACATCATTTCAAGGGTCTAGAGTTGCCTTTGATCTCTGCCAAGAGCCCTACCTACCAGAGATTAAGTTCCTATTGCTCTTTCTAACAGCTTTATTGAGGTATAATTGACACATAATAAAGTACACATATTTAACTTGAATAACTTGTTTCCACGCTTTAGAGGTAAGGCCTCCCTCCCATCCTTTCCAAACTGATAGTCCTGTCACCAAGCAACCACTGACCTGCTCTCCATCACTAAAGTAGTATGACTTTTCTAGAAAATTCCTTCTCTCTCCCACTCGCTCGCCCTTTCTTCCCTAGTGCTGAGGATTGGATCCAGGGCGTTGTTGGTGGTGGTGGTTTTAGTTCTTTGTTCTTACCTTTTTGTTTTAAGACAGGGTCTCCCAGTAGCCCCAGCTAGCCTGGAACTTGCTATGTAGACCAGGCTGCCTTGGAACTCACCACTACACCTGGCCTTTTCTTTTTTTTAAGACTACATTTTTTTGTGGGGGAGTCTTTTTGAGGCAGGGTCTCCCTGTAGCCCCAGTTGGCTTGGAACTCACTATGTAGACCAGGCTGGCCTTGAACTCACAGACATCCGCCTGCCTCTGCCTCCTGAGTGCTGGGACTAAAGGCGTGCACCACCACGCCCTGCTGGACTGCTTTTTTAAAAAAATATTTTATTTATTACCACCACGCCCGGCTAGACTAGTTTTTTTTTAAAAAATTTATTTATTATTTTTATTTTATGTGTATGAGTGTATTGCCTGCATGTATGTGAGGGCACCTGTGTTGTGCAATGCCACGGAGGTCAGAAAAGGGTGTCAGATCCCCTGGAACTGGAGTTAAGGATGGTTTGTAGCCTCCATGTGGGTGCTGGGAATTGAACCCAGGTCCTTTGCAAGAGCAGTCAGTGCTCTTAACCACTGAGCCATCTCTCCAGCCCTTAAGACTACTTTTTTTTTTTTTTTTTTTTGGTCTTTTTGAGACAGGGTCTCCCTATAGTCCCAGCTGACCTGAACTCATTATGTAGACCAGGCTGGCCTTGAACTCACAGAGATCTGCCTGCCTCTGCCTCCCGAGTGCTGGGACTAAAGGCGTGCATCCTGGATCCAGGCTGAGGGAGGAGGATCAGGAATTCAAGGCCAGCTTGGGCACCATAGCAAGATTATATCTCAAAAAGAAAGAGAAGCTAAAAACAAAGCTTTACAGGGATTGGAGAGATGGCTCAGTGGCTAATACTGCTCCTGCAAAGGACCTGAGTTCAGTTCCCAACACCCATGTTAGGCAGCTCACAATCATCCGTAATTCCCATTCCATGGGATCTCACACCTCTGGCCTCCACAGTCACCTGCATTCCTGGGTGCATATATACATATCCACGCCCACACCCACACCTCCCCCACCCACACCTACCAACCCCCCACCCACACATTTAAAAATAAAAATTAAATTTTTAGTTAAAAAAAAATTTTTTTTATGTGTATATGTGTGTTTGTGTGAGTGTGTGCTGTGTGCGTACAGGTGCCCAAGGAGGCCAGAAGAGGGTGTTAAAATTCAGGTCCTCTGCAAGAGCAGCAGACACTTTTAACAGCAGAGCCAACTCTCCAGCCCCAAGAAATAAATCTTAAAAAAAAAAAGGTTGAGGGCTAGAGAGATGGCTCAGGGGTTAAGAACACTGGCTGTTCTTGCAGAAGACCAGGGTTTGAATCCCAGCACCCACATGGCAGCTAACAACTGTCTATAACTCCAGTTCCAGGGAATCCGACAGCCTCTTGACCTCCACATGCATTGCATGACACGGGTACCTACATGCAGGCAATATACACATACACATGAAATAAAAACCAATATATAAAAAGTTAAAAAAATTTTTAAAAAGAAGTTTGATATTAGTGTGGTCTACTTGTTACAATTCTTGAAGCAAGAAAGATACAGTGTCCCTAACTGAAGTCAGAGTTCAGATTAGGGTTCATTCTTAGTGTTGATTGTCTGTGGGTTTACAGATGCACAATGTCATTTATCCACCATTACACTATCAGAGAGTCATTTCCCTGCCCTGAAAAGGCCCTGTGTCCTCTCTGCTCACCCTCTGGTAACCACTGATACCTTCATTACTTTCTCCTTTTTTGCCACTTCCAGAATTATCCAAGATCCAGAATCATTCAAGATATCACTTTTTCTTTTTTTCATCTTTGTTTTTGGTCTTTTTGAGACAGGGTCTCCCTGTCACCCCAGCTGGCCAGGAACTCACTAGGTAGAACAGGCTGGCCTTGAACTCACAGAGATCCGCCTGCCTCTGCCTCCCGAGTGCTGGGATTAAAGACATGCGCCACAACACCCAGCTAATAAATATAATTTTTTTAAAAGGTCTCATTTTTTTCAGAGGCTGGAGAGATGGCTTAGTGGTTAAGAACACTGGTTGTTCTTGCAGAAGACCCGGGTTCAAATTCCAGCACCCACATGGCAGCTAACAACTGCCCTAACTCCAGTCCTAGGGGATCCTAGGACAGCCTCTTCTGACCTCTGCGGGCACTGCACAACATGGGTGCACTTACGTATACGCAGGCAATAGACACATACACATAAAATAAAAATAATAAATAATTTTTTTTTTTTTTTTAAAAAAGGTCTGCCAGGCATGGTTGCACACACCTTTAATCCCAGCACTTAGGAGGCAGAGGCAGGTGGATCTTTGTGAGTTTGAGGCCAGCCTGGTCTACATAATGAGTTCCAGGACAGCTAGGGCTACAAGGAGACCCTGTCTCAAAAGGACAAAAAAAAAAAAAAGTCTCAATCTTTCAAATGAGCTTTCTTTTATTAAGATGTATTTAAAATCCATTAGCATCTCTCTGTAGCTCATAGCTCACTCATTTCTTCTTTTTTTAAGTGCTAGGGTCTCATGCATGCTAGGCAAGTGCTCTACCATTGAGCTCCAGCTATAGCCTTTTAAAAAATTAATGATTGGCTCTCTGGGAAACTCAGAGAACATCATCTCTGTGCCATCCCCCACCCCATGACATTGTCAAAGCCATGGTCGGGGTCAGCCCTGAGCTGAGTGGTAAGCTCAGCGCCATGGCCTTCCTTGTGCCCAAACACATTGTGTCAGTCTAGGATCCTGTCTCCTGTCTAGAAAAAGTTACCTAGCATGATGCCATTAGGAAGGTGGTGAAGGGGTTGGAGAAGACACCTCAGTGGTTAAGAGCACTGTCTGCTCTTACAGAGGACCCAGATTTGATTCCTAGAACCCTGCTCTTACAGGTTTGATTCCTAGCCATCCACATGGCATTCTTTTATTGAATCTCCTCTTTTGTCTGCCTAACTCACTCCCATACAGCCATCTCCTTAGTTTGTACAACTCTGAGCTGCTTAAAGTAGAATGAAATCAAAACTAGCCAGGCTCAGTGGAGCTTGTCTGCAATCTCAACAGTTGGGAGGTGGGGGCAAGAGGATCAGGAGTTCAAGGCCATCCTGGGCTAGATGAGCTCCTGTATCAAAAAAATAAAACAAGGGGGCTGGAGAGGATGGCTCAGCAGTTAAGAACACTTGATGTAGAAGTGTTTGCTTCCTAGCACTAACATGGTGGCTCACAACCATCTGTAAGTCCAGTTCCAGGGGGATGTGAGGCCTGTTTCTGGCCCCTGAAGGTATTCCATGCACATGGTATACTTACAGGAAGGCTAAACCTTCTTACACTAAAATAATTACACAAAAACTTAACCCCTGAGTCCACCCAGCCTTGCCACTCGCTTTCTAACTTCTTAGCCACACTTGGCATCCTTAGTTCCTCCACCGGTGAAGAGTTTTTGTGGGAAATTCCCTTGCCTGGCATCTATGCCACCAGTGTTATACTCTGCCTGTCTGATCCAAGCCTATTCCGGATATCTGCACTAGATTAGGCTTCAGTTAGGAAAAGTCTTTTGGGCTAACCCTTCCTCCCCGTTATCTATGAGGCTGTGGCCCTGAGTGTTCACCATCTTATGCCCACGTGGTCAGTGCCCATTTGGGGAAAGTCAGATGTAGACAGCTCTTAACTTTGGAGAGCCTAGACTGCAGGGAAAGGTAGGCACTGGCTGTCCAGCGGAATGCTTGTTGGTCCATCTTATGCAGCCTGCACTGGGCGCACCAGTGAACCGCCCTGAGCCGGGAACCGGGAACCGTCCCAGTCCCTCTGCGTTCTCAGCTCTCCAACCCCTAGCAAGGCACCAGACAATCTGCGGTGGGCCTGCCGCCGGGCTCACGGCCTTTGCCGCCCTCTCCCGGGTAAGGCCGCAACCACAGGCCCGCTGCTCCCACGTGGGTGGACCGAGAGGTTGGGGGAGAAGGCCAGGGTGCCCACGGCCCTCAGTTTGGGGGTCAAGAAACCCCAGGACCTTACAGAAAGATGTACTGCATCCGTGGTTCCTCTCCATCCGCTACACGCGTCGGGAAATCAAGACAGGGACTTACCCAAGGTCACCCGCAGTGAATGAGCCTCCAGGCCGGTTCCCGGCACTCCAAAGGCGGGGTGCTGGCACCGCAGGCCTGCGCCCCGGGATGCGGGGGTGGGGAACCCGGGGTGGGGCTGCCGTTTGCAGAGCGTCCGGCAGGGGTCTGATCGTCGGCCCCGGGCAGCTGCGGGGAGCAGCTGGGGAGGCCGGAGGTAACAGCCCCGGGGCCAGGGACCCTCTGGGAGGGAAAGAGGACAGCTGCGGCCGGAGGGAGCGCTGGGGCGGGGAGGCGGGCCGGGGTCTGCGGGGCGGTGCCACCGAGGCTGGATCCCCCCAGTCCCCTCTTGGAGGCCGGCGTGGGGTGGGGCGGTCGGCCCTGCAACTGGAGCTGCGGCCCTGGTTAAAAATACCCCCGCCCTGCCCTCCCTCTGGCCGGCGGTGCCCTTCTGTCCTGGCCCAGCCCTCCTCACCCGGACAGGCGCAGGGCCCCTCCCAGGGGACAACTCTGCCTTTTACCAGTTTGTCCTCTCGCAGAGTTGGCCCCTAGCCTGCAGAGGGAGGGCCGGGGAGACACCAAGAGCAATAAGAGATAGTCCAAGAAGGTGCCGCAGAGATAAGGGAGAGCGGGGAGGAAGCGGGGTGGGAGCCCCGGGAGGAGGTGGAGGACTAAGGAGGGAGGGACCAGGGCGGAGGGCCGGTGGAGGAGGGCGGGGAGGAGCGCTCTTCCTGGTTGGGCCCTGCCCTGAGCTGCCACCAAGGAAGCCAGCCGCAGGGATCTCTGCGATCCCCCAGACTCTCCTCCCCCAGGTAAGGAGTTGGGTGCCCGCACTGCAGTTGTCCGACCCGGGCCACTGCTCTTGGGGCTAAAGGGCTGCTCCAGATCGGCCCGGGCCGTCTCAGGGGCCTGGGGAGAGGGGTCTGTCTGCCTGGACGTTTTAGTTCCTAAGCCAGTGAAAGGGGCCAGTGAGCTAGGTGTTTCGCTAGTTTGGGGTTGGGGGTTCAGGGGCAGGCAAATGGGGTCAGAGATCTTCCCTGGAGTCAGTCACACATCTTCCCAGCTCTGTTTTGTGGCTGGGCTCCGCCCTACACCACCTGCCGGGGATGGCTGACCACAGCGCTGTCTGTCCACTCAGGACAATGGGAGTGGGGAAAAAGTGGTGGTCAGTGTTTTTAGGAACTAGGGCACTTTTCCCAGTTTCTGGGAGCCTAACAAGGGAGCTGAGAATCCTGGGCCTGTTTGGGGAGGAAGGGTGGGCAGGGGCAGGATTGCAGCCACTTGGAGGCAGGGGCTGTGTTAGGTTCCTGGGAAGGCCTGGGCTCCTAGCAGGCGGGTCTGCCCCCCAGGATGGCAGAGGAGTTCATCACCCCGGTGTACTGCACCGGGGTGTCAGCCCAAGTGCAGAAGCAACGGGCCAAGGAGCTGGGCCTGGGCCGCCATGAAAACTCCATCAAGTACATGGGCCAGGATTATGAACAGCTGCGGGCACGATGCCTCCAGAGTGGGGCCCTCTTCCGAGATGAGGTCTTCCCCCCAGTGCCTCAGAGCTTGGGCTTCAAGGAACTGGGTCCCAATTCCTCCAAGACTTATGGCATCAAATGGAAGCGTCCTATGGTGAGAGGGCTCACCCCTCAACCCCCTACCAGTGGTGGGTGAGGAGTGGGGCTGGAACTCAGGCCTGGTGGTTAGTGGGATTTGGGTGGCTGGGTACCTGTTTCTAGGAGAGACTAGCCCAGAAACAGGACTCTGGGTCTTATAGGAGCTGCTGTCAAACCCCCAATTCATCGTGGATGGAGCCACCCGCACAGACATCTGCCAGGGAGCGCTGGGTAGGCCCCCAAGGGTGGGGTTCTGGATGTGTTTTGCAGAGTAGTTCCCCATTCCCATTCCATTGGGCATTGCCCCAGCTCCTCCCTCCTACAGGCCCAGGCAGGCTCTGGCTATCAGGAGAGGCACTGGTTTGCCCAGGTTCCTGGGTCTTTCCTATAAGCTGAGGGAGTTAAACGGTACCTCGCCCAGGGAATCCCAGGTTGTCCCCAGCATTCGTACCCACACACATAGCACCTCCCTCCCTTGGGCAGATCCATAGAGCGGGCCTGATATAGGTCTTTCCTATCCTAGGGGACTGTTGGCTCCTGGCTGCCATCGCCTCCCTCACCCTCAATGACACCTTGCTGCACAGAGTGGTTCCCCACGGCCAGAGCTTCCAGGATGGCTACGCTGGCATCTTCCATTTCCAGGTGAAGGGCTGTGCACCCTCCCTGGGGAGGAGGGATAAACAGGCATAGGGTAGATGTGGAAGGGTCGCTCACAGCACTGTGATGTGAGGATGGCCAGGGCCACACCCCGTGGGGGCAACCCTCCCTTTGGAAGGTATTTGACCTCTCAGTGCCATCTCTGGTCAGTCATGTGTGAACGGTTGGGCAGGTAATTCAGCTAGCAGTCTTCCTGGGTAAGACTGCTTAGCCAGGAGAAAGCGCTTAGAAGAAGTAAGGATCACTATGTTAGCTCCTGTGCAATCAACCCTTTTCATCACTCAAGCCTCAGTTTCCCCATCTGAAAACAAATGGCCATCCTTACTTGTCAGCCCTTCCATTACCCAACTCTGGGGCTTTGGCAACCTCTGACAGAGTCTAGCAGCAAAGACTCAGGAATAAGTCGGTGAGAGCCATCTTTTCCTGATATTTGCAACACAACCCACTTTTCTAGTTGGATGAATTCTCTGTGAGCTGGTGTTGGGAGAGACACACCCCAGAAACTGTAGTTGAGGCCTCCCTGCCATGGTTGATTGCAGTCATACCTGGAGGACTCCCGGTGTTCCTTCCTTCTGCCTAACCTGGGGTCATCTCACTGTGTCCTTCTCACTCCTCCTGGAAGAAATGACCTGTATTACCCTCTCTGTGGAGAGCCGCCACCTGGCCGCTCCAGTCCCAGGGGTGTGTCCTCCACCTCCTTTCCTCCCCGCCCCCCTTCCCTGGGTCCTCCAATCCACTCTTCTCCAGCCTCTGATTTGGCTCATTCAATGCCACCTCCCAAATCCCAGCTCCTAGACCCACCTTCTCTCCTAGGCTCATTGTTCTGGGCTTGCCCTGAGACATTTCTTGGCACCCTTGGAAGCTTCTGGCCCCTGGTGGCCTGGCTATGCCCCATCCCCGTTTCTACTCAGGGTAACCCGCCCCTTGGCATCTCTGAAGCAAATCCTGGGACTGTGGGAGCCAGCCCAGTCCATCTGTGGTTGGAGGGTCTGGATGCCATTTTTTCTTTCTTTTTTGGTCTTTTTGAGATAGGGGTTCTCTGTAGCCCCCAGCTGGCCTGGAACTCACTATGTATACCAAGTTGGTCCTGAACTCACAGAAATCCAACAGCCTCTGCTCCCCGAGTGCTAGCATTAAAGGTGAGCTTGGAGGCCTCATTTTCTCTCCACATCTTCCACTGACTCCTGTGTCCCAGCCTAGAACAGGGAGAGAAGAGGCAGGGGTGCGACTTAAAGAGGGGTTACTTTGCCAGGTGTGAGTGGCACACGCCTTTAATCCCAGCACTCTGGAGGCAGAGGCAGGAGGATCTCTGTGAGTTCTGAGGCCAGCCTGGTCCACATAGTGAGTTTCAAGCTGGTCAGGGTAACAGGGAGACTGTGTCACAAAAAAGTGGGGAGATTACTTTGGGGGAATTTCCACTCTCTGGTCCTGATCTGTGTTGCCTGCATGACAGGGAAACTGAGGCTCCAAGAGGATAATTTACCCAGGATCATGTATCTATTGGTCTCCCACCGTATCTGCAGGGGATTGGTTCCAAGTCTCTGCGGATAGCAAAATCCACACTTGCTTGAGTACTTTATGCAGTCAGAGTATTTGCATATGACCAAACACATCCTTCTGTGGAAGACATCTTGAGGGCTGAGGGATATATCCCAATTAGTGAAGTGCTTGTCTGGCAAAGTTAGGTCCAGGGTTCAAGCCCCAGGAACAACAAATTTTAAAAGCAGGGGACAGGGAGTCAGGTGGGGGAGATAAAGCCCTTTGACACTAAAGCTGACAACCTGAGTTTAATTCCTGAAACACACATGGTAGGAGAGAAATGACTCCCGAAAGTTGTCCTCTGATCTTTATATTAAATGTGACATTTGCATGCACACAACAAATAAAATAAATGTATTTTAAAAAATTTTTGTTGGGCATGGTAGTGCATGCCTTTAGTCCCAGCACTCAGGAGGCAGAGGGGGCAGATCCCTGTGAGTTCATGGCCAGCCTGGTCTACACAGTGAGTTCCAGGACAGCTGGAGCTACAGAAAGACCCTGTCTCAAAAAGACAAAAAAAAAAAAGTTGTCAAAAAAAAATTTTTTTTTAATCTTTTTGAGACGGGGTCCCCCTTTAGCCCAGCTGACCTGGAACTCACTATGTAGACCAGGGTAGCCTTGACTCACAGAGATCTGCCTCCCTCTGCCTCCCCAGTGCTGGGATGTAATTTAAATTTTTTAAATGGGGCTGGGGATGCAGCTCATTTGGTAGAGTACTTGCCTAGCCTGCCCAAGTCCTGGGTTGGGATTCTTAGCACCACATAAAAGCTGGGTGAGCCTTTAATCCCAGCACTTGGGAGGCAAAAGGTGTGTAGACCTCTGAGTCTGAGGTCAATGTGGCTCTACATAGCAAGTTCCAGGCCAGCCAGAGCTCCATAATGAGACCCTGTATCAAAAACAAAAAAACAAAAAACAAAAACACCCAACTTTGAATGACTTATACTTAATGCCTAATGCCATGTAAATGTCCTGTCAGAAAGTCTGTACTTGTTCATCATGGATGCATTTAAATTTTTTTACTTCATGAGCCGGGTATGGTGTCACACACCTTTAGTCCCAGCACTCAGGAGGCAGAGGGAGGCGGATCTGTGTGAGTTCAAGGCTAGCCTGGTCTACATAGTGAGTTCCAGGACAGCTGGGGCTACAGGGAGACCCTGTCTCAAAAAGATAAAAAAAAAAAAATTATTTCATTATTTATTTACTCTGTGTATGGGTGTGTGTGTGTGTGTGTGTGTGTGTGTGTGTGTAGACAATTTGCAGGAGTTGGTTTTCTCCTTCCACCATGTGGGTCCTGTGTATCAAGCTCAGGTTGTCACCCTTGGTGGACGACCTTTGCCTGCTGAACCATTTTGTCTGCCCCAGATGTATTGTTTTGTTTTGATTTGTTTTTTGGGGATAGGGTCTCCCTGTGGCCCCACCTGACCTGGAACTCACTATGATGTAGACCAGGTTGGCCTTGTTCTCATAGAGATCTACCTGCCTTTGCCTCCCGAGTACTGGGATTAAAGGTGGGTATCACCACATTCAGCCCTGGCACATTTTTTTTTTTTATGTGTATTTCCTGTGTGTTGTGTGGTGCCTGGGGATAAGGTGGGCTGACTGTGTGACTGTATACATGGCTCTAGCAGGCATCAAGCATGCCTGTGTGAAGTGTGTGTACGACTCGAATGTGGATCTAGACTCCTGCATCTCCTAAGCCCAGCTGAAGATGGAGCTGAGGCCTGGGGGACCCCATAGTAGGCACTCACCTGTGCCCCTCCCCTGCAGCTATGGCAGTTCGGGGAGTGGGTAGACGTGGTCGTGGATGACTTACTGCCTACCAAGGATGGGAAGCTGCTGTTCGTGCACTCCGCCCAGGGCAATGAGTTCTGGAGTGCCCTGCTTGAGAAGGCCTATGCCAAGTGAGTAGGGCCCCAGGGACAGCTCTAGCACCCCAGGGGTGGGTGCTCCTGGCCTCCTTACCTGGGTCCTGCTTCATGCCACAGTACTGACCTGGAGCTGCCCACAGGGTGAATGGCAGCTATGAGGCCCTTTCGGGAGGCAGCACCTCAGAGGGCTTTGAGGACTTCACAGGTGGGGTCACAGAGTGGTACGAGCTTCGGAAGGCACCCAGCGACCTCTACCAAATCATCCTGAAGGCTCTAGAGCGAGGCTCCCTGCTGGGCTGCTCCATTGATGTGAGTACGATACCCTGACCCTCGCTCCAGCCTGAGATCTGAAGCTTGCCTTGGATGGGTTCCCTCTTGCCAACCCCGGTCTCATCCTCACCCCAGGCTCAGCCCCAGACCCCATGCCCTTCACCTCCAGCCCACCCATCACTTCCCTCCTGCCTTCCACCTCCATGCTAGTGTCCTCCTGTCTCCACTCCCCTCAAAGCTCAGGCCTCAGCTGTGCCCCAGACATGGTCCTGATCCTTTACCCCGTTCCCTTCCTTCAAATTTCTGTTACCTCTTCGTGTCCCCATGCCATCTGATATGATCTCTTTGCGGCTATCAGATCTTGCCCACTCTACTTCCCTCTCCTCCCTCCCTCTCCTCCCTCCTTGCTGAGCTTGTCTGCCCCCACTGTTCCTGTGGCCATCTCCAGATCTCCCTGGTTCTGTCCTTGATCTCTCACTCCATCCCAGCATCACTGCGAGTCCATCCTATGAACCACAGGCAGCATTTGGACAAGGATAGCTATCTCAGAAACTTACTTAAAACATTCTGTTTTTTGTTTTTTTTACAATTTTTGTATATGTGTGACTCAATTGAGCCTTCAAGTATGAGCTTTGTTGATGACAGTGTTATCTTTTAATGTCAAAGGGTTGGATTTGGAGCTGGGGGGATAGTTCAGCAGTTAAGAGCACTGGCTGCTCTTGTAGAAGACCTGAGTTTGGTCCCCAGCACCTACATCTGGTGGCTCACAACTGCTTGTAAATCCAGCTCCAGAGGGATCTGACATCTCTAGCCTCTACTCTACCTGTACTCATATGTACACACCCAGATACAAGCACACATAATTAAGAATAAGATAATTAGAGGCTGGAGAGATAGCTCAGCAGTTAACAACATTGGCTGCTCTTGGAGATGACCTGACTATGATTCCCAGCTCCTGGCTAACAATCTTCAGTAACTCCAGTTCAGGGGATCTGATGTCCCCTCTGACCTCCACAGGCCTTGCACACTTACATACATGCAGGCAAAATACTCATGTGCATTAAAAAAAAAAAAAAGCTGGTTGTGGTGGCGCACGCCTTTAATCCTAGCACTTGGGAGGCAGAGGCCACCAGGTGGATCTCTGTGAGTTCGAGGCCAGCCTGGTCTACATAGCGAGTTCCAGGCCAGCTGGGGGCTACAGGGAGACCCTGTCTCAAAAAACCCAAAAAAGAAAAAAAAAAGAATAAAATAATTTTTTAAAACTTGGCTGTACCTGCAAGTTTAGCCCATTTGTCTCTGCCCTTTCCTCCTCCTTGCTCCCTCCTGGAATTCCTCTGGGGGAACAGTCCCAGCCAGTATCAGAATCAGTAGGGTTCCTGGGCTTCCCTGAAGGATTGGCCCTGCCCCCAGGAGGAACAGCACCTATATGAAAAGATGAAGTAGATGGGATAGGAGTCCTTGCTTGCCTTTCTCAACAGCTGTTGTGTGTGTAGGGGGCATTGCCCAAGCCATACTAATGCTCCAAGCAGAGGTGGAGCTGGTCCCTAACCACAGGGCCTGTTTTCTTCTGCAGATCTCCAGCGTCCTGGACATGGAAGCTGTCACCTTTAAGAAGCTGGTGAAAGGCCATGCGTATTCTGTGACTGGTGCCAAGCAGGTACTGCCCTAGGTGGAGCCTGGCCTGCAGGGCGGTTCCCACCTTCATACCTGTCCTTGCCTCTGTGGCTTCTGGCCAGGGCTGTGGGAGGTGCTTCCTCCTCTTCTGACCTCCTGGGACACCCATGCTGAGATATGTATTGATGCTTATCTGAATGACTCTAGCTCATGTGCACAGCTGCCTCCCTGGGCTGTAAATTCCTGGACTGCCTTTACCGTGTATTGGCTGTGTGGCCCTGGTGTGCTCTGTGTGCTAAGCAGGGTTAGCTGCTGCAGAAGGCAGGGTGAGAAGGGGTGTCAAAGTGCATGGCACTGATGTGAATTCTGGGGAATAGGTGAATTACCAGGGCCAGATGGTGAACCTGATCCGGATGCGAAACCCATGGGGCGAGGTGGAGTGGACAGGAGCCTGGAGTGACGGGTGAGGGGCAAGGTGGTGCACACTGGCTGGGAAGCTTGGGAGAGTCTGGAGATGTCCTGACATTTCTGTCTGGGGCTACGCCAGTTGGGGGTGGGCTTGGGATTGAGCAGAGGGGCCCATTTTGTGTTACTAGCTTTAGGATTCTGCCATGACAAAGCCCAGGCTGTGGTGACCCAGTGCAGCCAATGGATATGCCTAGAGCATTTGGCCTGGCCCAGAAAAGATAACCCTCTGGCTAGATGTGGTGGCTCATGCCTGTAATCAGGAAGATGAGGCAGGAGGTTCACTACAAATCTGAGGCTATTTGTAGTGATGCAGTGAGTTCTAAGCCAACCTGGGTGATGCAGTGAGTTCTAGGCCAACCTGGGTGATGCAGTGAGTTCTAGGCCAACCTGGGTGATGCAGTGAGTTCTAGGCCAACCTGGGTGATGCAGTGAGTTCTAGGCCAACCTGGGTGATGCAGTGAGTTCTAGGCCAACCTGGGTGATGCAGTGAGTTCTAGGCCAACCTGGGTGATGCAGTGAGTTCTAGGCCAACCTGGGTGATGCAGTGAGTTCTAGGCCAACCTGGGTGATGCAGTGAGTTCTAGGCCAACCTGGGTGATGCAGTGAGTTCTAGGCCAACCTGGGTGATGCAGTGAGTTCTAGGCCAACCTGGGTGATGCAGTGAGTTCTAGGCCAACCTGGGTGATGCAGTGAGTTCTAGGCCAACCTGGGTGATACAGTGAGTTCTAGGCCAACCTAGGCTACAGAATCTCAA